GTGCCACGCTACTAGTAACAAGTGCCACGCTACTAGTAACAAGTGCCTTACTACTAGGAGCAAGAAGCTACTAGTAGCTGAGCACGCACCCCAAGTCGGTCTGTCAGTCCACTTCAAGGCTCCAGCCCAATTGGTCTTGGAGATGGCTTTGCCTTGAACGAGGGCATCAGATGCATTGATGTTAGGCAGTACAGATTGGCCAGCTAAGAACTTAGTAATGCTTAGTGCGGCACCTTGGACAGTTGACCAGTCGTAGAGAAAGCCAATAAGAGTCGGCATTTCATGGCATTTCTAGTTCACAACTCCGCAGTTGCACAACGGCCAACAGCTGGGTGCTGTAAAATAGGCCCCTGGTAAAAAAGCAAAACAACTTGACCAGTCAACCTGCCAGTGGCCATCTCTGGCCCATCTTTTTGAGCCAAAAACTGTTCCATGTACCGCCCTCATTCGTTGAATTGTTCGACATGAGAAGCAAAGCGGTGCGGCCGAAGCAAAGTTACTCTTTTGAAGCACTTTCGGTTGGTTCTCGTGGAGTTGTTTAGGTTTTCTGTTCACACGGGTTTCATTTTCCCAGTGCGTTTGGATGTTGCCCGTTTTGAACCGCAGCCAAGGACGGTAATTTTGAACATATCTGACCCAGCTGACGTTCGGGGCCGTTCTGATTTCAACCCTGAGAGGCACAGGTCAAGAGAAAATCATGCTCGCAGAGCGGAGTTGGGTTGGAAGTTGGGCAGTTTGGAGAAAAAAGGAGACAAACATCCAACATCATCCAACACCATCCAACACCTCGATCCTGAGGCCAGGGGCGGGAGCTGATGTCAGGTTTCCACTTGTACATCTGCCTCAGCTTCTTGAAGACATCCGTGACGCCTCAGCGACGGCTTCCCCAGTGGCTTCCGGGGAAACGCATGGAAACGAAGACGGGATGGATCCCGACGATGCCAAGGGAGTCGGACCTCTGAAGCACCTTGTTTTCAGGAGGATGGAGAAGGTTTTTGAATGTATGTATTTGTACCAGCCGGTGCCAGCACCGGCAGCTGGAATCCCACCTTGTCTCTCTCTCTCTTTCTTGTGGGATTGTGAGCGATTTGAAACAGGGTAACCCCCAAGCATCCTGTGCGCGAAGCATGAGATTGTCCATCAACAGCAATGAGGGTGCCAGATCTCTTGTCTGGATGTGGGGCCCTAGGATTGCCCGATGTATGATACTGGGACCTGGATGCTCATCTCGCTTGGGTAAGTGTTCCGGATAGTTAGTATGGCCTGGTTAACAAGTCCTCCAAGCAAATTGATTGACCGCACTTAGGAAAGGGACTACTAAGGGAGGTGACCCCGGTTCACACAACCTTTGAGCCGACCAACATCTACCAACCCTGTTTTCAAGACCTTACTTAGACACAAGCTGTTCCGACTCAACAGTCACCCCACCAAGTGTCCCAACCCAATGGCCCACAAGGCCTTTGTTCTCTTCGAGCCTATGAGTAACAATGCTCCCAAAAGCCTTGTGGAGCGAGTTAGGGGGGAGGGTCCAAAAGCCCTGCATAGCCGCAGATTGAACCCCCCATAGGTGGTTCTGATGATAGGACAACTCTATTGTACCACATGCGCCACATGCGCCTGGCCGTTTCTAGGACAAACAACGGCTGGTGCTTTCCCTGCCAGGCCTTGACGCATCAACGCCAATTCCAAAGTCTCCACCCTTGCAGCAACACTCTGTTGGCTGTAGCGAGTCTCTTCACTTTGAATATACTCGAGACAGTTTCTTTGTGAGTCTCTAGTCCAAAGCCTAGTTGAAAGCATGTGACAAAGACGATCTGAGGACGTCGATCAGACTTCCTATTAAGATCCATCATGAAAGGGTCAAAAAGGCAGTGACGTTGGTGTACTCGACTCTGCTGTTGGATTTAACAACAAACCGGCAAGACAAAAGGAGATTAGCACTTCTGAATAACTCCTCAAATTGTCAAATCAACTGTAGTGAACTAGCGCCAATGTATCCTCTGTACCGTTCTTCGCCATGTGATGGGGGAAGTGGCATCTATCGGTTTGTTTCGACCAAACATATACACTAGTGATTCAGCACGGCTCCAAACATGATAACCGCACCGAAAAAGTCTACAAAGGACCTGCCTCTGGTAGGCCTCTATAGAAGTATGAACACCCTTTACGGTCTAGAGCAGTGGTTGACAGATTCTCTGCTCTGCCAGGTGTTGCAATGGCAACACATCAAGCTCTAATCTCACCTGACCTTGAGATGTAGCTTTCAGCATGTCTGCATGGTTAGGATTGGGTTGGTGGATTGGTTGTTCTGGCTTGATGAAAGGCACCTTTGGTCACATGGGTCGGAGGCCAGTATCACATCCTTGGACCATCTGATCGTCTCTGCATGCTCCACATTCCAAAAGCATACGCCTCTTCCCGCTTTCCTGCTCCAAAGGCCTTTTGCCTGGTGTGCTGAGTCACACGGAAAAAAGAACGGATGCGGGACGGGAGGTACACAAAAGCTCGTTTCGAACATAAACACATCATAGCTCAACGCTGAGAAAGGAAACTTCCTTCAGCATGCAAGTCCCGTTTCGGAAAGAACGTGCTCCCAGCCACGCTTTCGGGTGCTGTCAAGTGCCACTTGTCAGCAAGGATGTGGTCACAAGGTAAACCTAAAAACAACTGCCAAACTGGGCCATAGCTTCCACCGCATTTCATTTGGCCTGGAAGCTTGTCCTCCTCATTCAAGTAGGGCCTGCCGCATGGAATCTGATGCTGGGCTCTGTCACCCGCAGGTCAATCCTGTACGGCATCTGGACATTTGTCACAGAATTTACGGCCAATTTGTAAGGTCCCAGCATCTCAGTGTCAATCCTTTTAGGAACACGTCAAACCAGCCTCCAACCAATCACATCAGTCACCTCCCTTTCGCCTCCCCTCCCTGCACATCCAGCGGAAAACGGGTTTTCTTTCGGGGCTCGTCTAACTCGTCGCCTCAAGCGTTCGTGGAAGTTCAGAAACTCTCGAAGCCGCGAGCCTCGGCTGTGACGAAAAGTTTGATACGGCAGTGGAGACGGAAGAGCCGACCAGGTCCATTGGGAAAAATCCTCATGTTGATACCAGGAAACAATGAAATCAGGTTTGATAATGTCCGGAATGAACTCCATGTCTCATGATTGAATATGTTCGATATCAGGAAACATCTGCAACCCCAAAAGAAACAGGACATGAAATTCTCGAGATGGTGGGGGGGTTGTGTCTGAAGTCAATTCTTGGGGCTTGGAGGTTCTTGGGATATGTGGGCTTTTTGTTGTCCTCGCCTGCAACACATTTCCCGCTTGGAAGGATTTCAGGTATAGAGATAGTGCCAAGTTTTGGTCCCTCGAACAGGGTGAACTACTGGTGCTTTAACCAAAGCTTTCCACGATGCCGGGCCCAAAAAGGGGTGACTCAGACTGGTAGCCACAAAACTCTGACTCGAAAGGATCTTGAAAGGAACAAAGGCTCAAATCCCTGGTCCTTGTGGTGTTGGGCTTAATCTTTTGACATCGGAGTTGTGACATGTCGACGAGATTCCTGGAGTTGGTTCTATAAGCATGTCTCCAAATGAGGTCCTCAACTAGTTGCCTTTTGACTGTGCCAATATTTGAGACAACACCGACATTGACGTGGATTGGTCATGTCCAACCAGAAAGTTCCTAAGGGAGGGAAGACAAAACCATGACCATAGTACTGTGAATCTGGTGCACTGCAACCCTGAATGTTCTTGCAAAGAACCACTGGCGGGATACCATTCATAGGATGAGCCTGTAGAGTGTCTGGTCTCCTTAGTGAGCTGGGTGAGTAGGTACAGTTTATCCATCCTTCCCGTGGAGGAAAAGCACCGGCACTGCCAGGTCCTTTGGAGAGTCAGTCATCCAGAAACTTGAACTTCCCCCTGTATCCGCATGTTGGCAACGACGAGTCACATTTACGAGACGTCAAGCAAACATGCAACCCTCCAGACCGTGCCAATCTGAGCTAGGCACTTCGTTCTTCTCTTCCAAGCGCCTGGTTCATGAAGCAATACAGCGTAACCCAGCGTGTCGTTACCACATGAGCTTCTCAAGAGTTCTTAAGCCTTCCGCTTATACCAATCAAACCTTGTACTCAACACTATCTATCAGTGAATTGTTTTACACTGCCATACCTCCTGCCACGGTTGTACCATCCTGCGGTGTGGGCCAGTGTGGGCCAAACTCACCGGCAGCCTTGGCCATCAGATCGCACCATTTCAGCTCAATGTCCCGTTCGATGCTTAAGAGCACCTGAAGCCATGAACCAAGCCATGAACCAAGCCGGAAGAACAAAGGGAAAAGCCATAGATGTGCAAAGCGAACGAAGCAAAACCACTCATGGATACCGTGTCAGTACCTCCCAGCATCAAAACAAAACCTCTATGAGAAGAATCGGCTGTTGTCTTGCACATGAGCTTGGAATAGCATGACCCAGAAATGACCCAAATGGGTATGCAAGGTATGTGCTAGAATTGGACCGTCTAACCAAGCGGTCTTAGCCTAGGCTAAGGCTGGTAAAACCACACAGAAGTGGCCAAAGGTTAGTAGACTAGAGGACCACAACCAAGGCTGACCACCTCAGGAACTTCCACCACTCCCTCAACTGCAAAAACCTCAAAATGACCACCACAGGTCGTTCTTGGCGGCTCATGATGTTCTCCTACATCATAGGTGGCTTGAAAACTCACGTTGGAGCCTAAACTGCCACAAGGAAGAGAGGGCAACACAAACCATGTCATATTTTTGACCACCATCCACCACCTTTTAGCCGGAAAACGCAAAGCAGCAAGGGAACCACCCCCCACAGCATTTTGTCAATGACTTTCTTTTGAAACTATAGACTATAGTCACTATATAGTCACTATACGTCAAAAGTCGTGCCAACTGCACTTATTCCTTGCTTTGTCTTTACTGAGGTAGTTGTAGGAGAGCACTGAATATGGGTCCTACGGTCCTACGGGTCATGAGCCATCTGGTGTTACACTGGCACAATCGCCCAAGTGTTGGCCCAACGACGAAACTTGGTGGGCAGAAGATCTGCACATATTGTGGCACTGGCAGGAACATCCCCAGCCAGGCTGCTTGGACGCCACTTATACAAGATGGAACAAACAACGACCCCCACCAAGTGAACCAACTCTGGAACTGACAAACAGAGTGAGCCGTCAAAACCAACCGAATTGAAACAACATTGTTGTTGCAGCCCGGGTTTGTCTGTGTCGCCTGGATTTGTCGTTGCAGTGGCAACATGTGGAGCAACATGAGGTGCTCCTTCACCAAGCGACAGGTCGTTGGCTTATGCACCCCGGTACGCCAACATGGACCGTCCGGTTTGGCATGTGTCAAAAACTCACAACCCCCCCAAAAAATCAAAATGAAACCCTACCCAAATAGCCTTGTGCAGTTACAGTCCCAAGCAAAATGCATCTGCATTGTTTGGGGGTGCGCTTCCAGGAAAGACTTCAAATTTCCGGTGCTTTCATTTTCATATTTGGGCATGCAACTTCAGGTAAACGTGCACATGAACTGTTAGTTGGAGGCAGCCCTCTATGTGCATGTCCCCAAAATGAAAAGCATCTAGCAACTTCATAACAAACATCCCATAGTTTGGAAACTGAAACGTCCCAAATGCTTTTCCAACATGGAGAGACATCTAGTAGGTTCATGACAAAAGGTCCCATATCTTGGAAACACACATTGACAAATGTCCCAAATGAATGTTCAACATGGAGAGAAAGCAAAGGTTGTTATGCCAAACATGCTGCGTTTTGCTGATTGATGTTGCTCGTTGAGTTGATGCATGTTGTTTCGTTCCCTAAACACATTGGCCTCAGTGCGTCCGGGTCGTGTTTGAACCTGTTGATAACCTGTACTTACTTTGTTCATGGCGCACTAAGGACTCAGCTTCCTTGAGCATTGTTTCTTTTGCCGCTTGTCGGCTTTGGTGCGCTAGCCCAGGCGACCACCTTCGCCTGGGAACAGTATGTCCAAATGATATATATTCTGAATCCGGCGCAGGTGGTTTGTAAGGAATTCCTCAAACTTTGCACTTGGTTCGTGACTCTTCGCCCGCTGCTGCGTCGCGCAAAAAACCTCCGGCTCTTGCGGTCCCGAAGCGTGCAGCATTCGTGCTGGGAGGTCCCGAATGCTGCACAATTGACGACCCTCGCTCACGGCTGCTCTGTAGGTGCGTCGTTGAGCAGCTTTGATGGTTTTGACGGGCTGGCGTGCATGACCCTTGTGCAGCCACCATGCCCATTGGTCACCGTGAACATTGGTCTTTGTTTCGAGGTTACATGCCTTTGGTCCACTCCTTCCTTTGCTCCTCCCCGTCTCGTGTCTCGACCTGAGTTCTTCGGCCCCCCTGAGTTCGTCAGCGACGACGGTCTCATGCCCAGCCGTGGCTACGCGGTGAGCGACGTTCAGCTGCTGCGCACATCCCTCTCGTTGGCCTTTTGTTTGCCCTGTTCTGCTAGCACCAAATGTCAGCCTGGCGACACAGGCAAGGGTCCACAGCTTTCATGCATACGTAGTTACGTAGGTTATACTATCGTCCATGCCACGCAGACCTCATAGCGGATTGCTTGGCAGCGCTAAACTTTGGTCAATTCTGCCACCAATGCCTGCATGGAATCTGAACTTATTTCCCAAGCCGAGCATCCACTATGGGTCGGAACAAGTGCAGATGAAGGATCTCTGAAAGTCATTGCTGGTCTTCCCATCGGTAACATGTGGGCAGGTTGTGGCCATGGAAAGGATTGAGCAGCCAGCTACTCTGCTAATCCCGGCCAGGCAATACATCTGTCGCTCCAAGAAGGCAGGGTCTGCAAACGACAATCTTTTGAGGCCCATCAAAACTGATGTGCCAACATGTGCCAACTGTTTTTGTTCCGCGTTGAAATAGATTTGCAGGTTGCTTGAAAGGCTTGGGTTTCAGCTTCCAAGTGGTAGCCAGTCTTGCCTTGTTAGGTTTCCTGATTTGCACGAGGGGTGAAACAAATGTCTGCAGTGGGCCTCAGAGACGGTCGTCCTAAACAGCTCAGGCTTGGCCAAAGGAAGAGAGCCTGAATCCATCTGAATTCATGGTACAACTTTTTGGTAGGGTGCTGAGTGAAGCAAGTACCTACTGACCGCCACGGGGGAAGGGCCAAACACAAGACATACTGAAAATCCGAAATCCAGTTTCGGATAATTTTGGAGCAAGCTTGTCGATTAAACCCGGCGGCTTTTGGAAGGCAAAGCCCCTAGCGCCACACCCAAAGCCCCCTTCACGTCATAGCCACATACCAGGAAGTGTTGATCCAGGTTCACAAATGGTTTCCCCTTGAATTCAAGTTGATCCACTTTCCAAAATTCACCCAGAAGCACCCTTCATTGGGAGAGATTTCACCTCCCATGTCATCTCGTGAACAAACACAGTCTTGCCACAAGGGGTCGGTGGCTTGTTCCCAAAGTCAACCCGACTGCTTCATGAAGGACCCAACAATCACCCAAGCCCATGAGTGATCTCCAAACAGGTTGGTCCAATCTTCTTTATGGACATGTCTGTTGAAAAAAGGCACCGTTCCTATCCAGCCGAATGCTCCTCTGATGGAACCAAGCGCCATTCCTCAAGGTCTCTTGGAAAGGCAACAAAGGTTTGGTGCAAGGTCGGTTGGTTGGGCGGCCAACTGCTCAGTCTGTTCACCAGCTACACCCAAAAAATAGGGTTGTCCAACAAACATATTCCAAACAACGTCCATTTGGGCCTTTGCTTGCATGATGGAGCGTGAGGCAAGCAAACCACATTGGGTGTGCAAAATCCTTTTCTGCTGGAATCTTTTGGAGACTCGGTCTTTGCAAATATAAAATGGGCATCGCGGCATCCCCCTTGTCAAGTAGTAGATCCTGGTCTGTCAAAGAACCCCAAACTCAGCAAGTTGAGTGGCCAACATTTATACTACAAGTATATATACTGTATATATATATATCGATCAATATTACAACATGGGTGTCCCCCATCAATATGACAACTCAGGCTGCGACTGAACCGAGGCGATTCAAACAGGCCTGGGAATTTTCCACTGACCAGCGATGTTCGCTGAACGACTTCAGGTTGGAGGGCTGGGAGGACTTCAGGTCAGAGGGTTGATCATTAGTTTTCCGGGTTGTAATTACTCAAAGAACACGTACAATACAACATGTTACAAGGGTTATCTTGTGCAGTCTTTTGCACGACATTGTGAACCCATCCCAGTGCATGTTCCTACATAGCCAGAAAGCAGCAGCTACCTTCAAAATCAAAGAGCTTGGGATCGACTTTCCCGTACCGAATAGAATGCTCATCACAAGCTTCAGCCAAGCCTCAAACCATGACAGTCGCTGAAACTGAGGGACAAAATGCACTAGACTCAACTTGTCTGAGTCATGAGCTCCCGGTGAACCCATCCTTATCACTAGCCACTAGCTGCTGCACGACCAAAAACCAGATCCTCTCTCAAAAGAATGCTCAAACAACACGCCCTAGTCATCCAAATGTATCCCGAGAGATTACTTGGACCCTCCAGTCCCTCCAGTCAGCCAGTCACCCACCCCAAGCATTTTCCACCTTTGCAAAGGGTGTGTGGAGGGGCAGAAGATGATGCACGTGTGCTCAAGTATCTTCGATTCCTCATCTGAGCATCTCACGACCTTCGCGTCTCGGATCCGCTTCAGATCCTTGTCCAAGCACTGCTGCGCCTGGGTCGATGCTTAGTGACCGGTGAATGACCCATTCCCCGATGTCTGGTGCGATGCTTTCGTGGATGCCATCCATTCCGAGTGGACTCTGTGAAGCTGTGAGCCTATCCATCCACGGCTAGGTACGGCTTGGCTTGCAGGACAATTACATGAGAGGTACTTGTGAAACGAATATCTGATTTTGTTACATTTTGTTACAGTACATCTTTCTACAATCCGCGTCAGTTTGTCGCGGCGCAGGGAGGGTGCTTCGTGTTTTGCTTGGGGGATGTGACCCTGCTCTGGGATGTGTTGTTCTTGAATGTTCTTTTCTTTTTCACAGGTCGGATGCAGCCAGCAGAGCTGGTCACTTTGCTCCACCAATGTCATCACATAAGTATACACCGCTGGGCTTCTCAGGGTCACCTGATGCTAATCTTGCTGCAATTTGAGGTCCTACAGTAGATGGACCAAATATTCAGACTCAAACCCTGAGGACCCGTAACTGTCACGAACCCGTGACACCCTCACACAGGGACTTGATTTGAACACGACTTGATTGACTTTGTGTTGCCAGGGATTGATTTGCTTCGCCCATTCACTGAGGAAGGTCCAAGTGGTTTGAAGCGTTTGAATACTTCGTCCATCTACTGTAGGACGATCCTTAAGAAGTTCGGACCTCAAATGGATAAAACTGCGGAACTGAAGCGAATAATTGTACTGTATGCGTGGTCCTTCGATCTAGATCCGGTCACAGTTTTCAACACTGCTGCAGCGCTGCTTTAGCAGCTTCTCTATATATATATATACGGTTGTTCTAAGTATTGCATGTTACATCCTAGATAACTCCTGACTTTTCATCGGCTCGCTCAACTCGTTGAAAAAGGCCGCCCCACCAGTGCGCAAGCGTAGACCAGGTCCATTCGACTGAGCACTTGGATGTTCCGGTCGGGCAGAACCTGCTTCCTGAGGACGGAATGTGGCAGCTGATGGCAGCTGGTGAAGCTGACAGAGATCCGGAAGGATTACAGAACAAACGCGACTCAAACGCTATACTATTCTATGGTGCTTGTTCTTTCACCGCATGATTTTGCACGGCAAAGTGGTCACTGACCCAGTACTAGCAGAGCTGAGAGACTTTCTGGACATTGCTATATAAATGAAACCAGGAGGTATTTGGTGGTTCGTTTTCTTTGAGGTGTCCTGTGTTTGAACCCATGGCAACTGTGGCATCGGGCTGCAAGCTGTGGAAAAGGTCACCTTTGGTGTCCCACCTGAGCTCTGAGACTGGCCGACCAAAACGGCTGCAGAAGTGTACATGCCTGACTCTTTGTGTTTTGCCAAGGTTGGCTGATACCTTGACAACCAGAAAGATGCCAGCCAACAGTTGATGGGTGCATTTGGTTGCGAGGTGTGGACACGTGTCATGCCAGTTCACCATAGAGGCCTTCGATACGAATTAACACTAGCAAAAGGACGTGCTTGTTCTATCAAGACCATGTAATGGCCATGCTCCACTAAAGAATATGAAATGTCAAATGTCCCAAGAGTTAGTATAATATGTATTCCGTTTGAAACAATGCAAACTCTGGCTCGGCCTTGGACGAAATACATGGTTCTTGACTATTCCGAAAAATCCGTCCATGATAGATCACCTCCCGGGTCTGACCTACAATGAGACTAAGGACCCAGCAAGCGTTTCATCAAGGTAACATACTCGCAGCAGTGCACCTAGGCTTCAGTTGAGCATTGCAAATTGCAAGCATCTGTGGCGCGATGGCCAGGGCTTGCCTGTGCGAGTATCTTGTATAGGCTGGTATTGAAAACAGATTCTGGGCTTGCCTCCTCTGCGATTGCAAATGGCAATTATTGAGGCTCAAGCCCAAATAAACTATCTTCATCTATCTTCATTATTCTGCACTTGTTGTGTTTCGCGAAGCACACCTTCCTCTTGTTGATGAATGAACGAGTTGTTACTTGGCTGGTCCTGAGTATTGCCAACTTGCCCTGGGCGAGAGTCTATGCTTCTCCCTTGTTCAAGGTAAAGGGTAGTATTCAGAGCCCAGACACTGGCCCAAACCTATTCTGTCAAAAAAATACCTCGAGCATATAGGTTTCATTGTTCATTGAAAAGAAAGAAGGGGAGTGCTCACATGAATTAGACAATTGAAGGAAGAATGAACAGTTGTTTTGAGGCAGCCAAGACTTGGAATATCTTCAATTACGGGATGTTGTATATGGATAGCTAACTAGCTGCTAGCTATAGGCCGTTGCAAATGCTGCAGAAGCTATCCAGGAACAAAAGAGCATCAACCGATTGTTGGGTTTTGGATGCCGGGACTGCTAGGCTGGATCACGAGCATTCACAAGCAAACAAGAATTATGAAAAGACCTCATGGATTTCAGGGAACCAGAATCATTGGACAACCATTGTTGAACTAACATCAGTGACCTCAAGATTCAACATGGCACCCGAAGGGTACCCATATATACTATACCCATGGAAGCGTTGATCCGGTTGGTCCCGTGAGGTTTCATCCAGCCTTTGTCAGACTCCGTCCGTCGGCGCCCGTCAACGCTGCTCCCGTTGGGCACCGCACCAAGCCCATGATTTGTACCGTCGTTGGTTGCTGAGCGGTCCGTGGCGACGGTCCCAAGCGATCCCGTGCGGCAAAGTCGTAGTTCCAACGAGGCACACAATGATAAGAGCATCTAAGATCGGAGCTAAGGGTCCAAACACCAGACGTTCTTCAAGCTCGTAGTGTCAACTGCTATCCACATCCAACAAACAACTGGTAGCCGGTAGCCTTTAATTACGTACACCATGCTGAGTCGGCGCTCATGCTTGCACTGACCTGATGCATCGTTCCATGGACATCTTCTTCGGCACTCCCTTCCCAAGCCGCACGTTTCCAGAATGCATATTTATCTTTTGCGCAACCCCAGCTTGTGGGTCATCTAATGGATGTTTGCATTTTACATACTTTTGGCAAGTTGAAACTCAGTGAAAACTATGAGGTTGGAGGCTATTATGTTGGAGACCATCGCTATTAGGTTTCAGGCCATCGCTAGTAGGTTGGAGGCCATCACTGTTAGGTTCCTTGAAGTCTCACATTGTCTTTCCTGGAAAGAACTGCCCTTCGATGCCCTGGGGTATCTCAAATACTTGTGCGACTGATGCTTCTGCGGCCCCGATGGGGTGGCCTGGTGTTGGTATGTGGGTTGATAAAGACAAACGTTACTCGTAAATAGGATGATACAGTGCGGGGAATGCACTAAGAGTACACATGTGACACATGTGCATACAGTAAACTACATGAGCATGTTCACCAATCTTTAGTCTTCAAATACCACTTGAGATCTACATATCTGCACAGGCCAGCTTTGGTGGTACAGGCACTCCTTGGTCTCTTTTCACCCCGGTTTCGTGTGTCATGCCGCTGATTGCAACCCAGTTCACCTCCCCCAAACCACCTATTATATAGCAGGTTCTTCATGCTGGAATTGGTTCCAGAGGAAGACTCAGCGTCAGACTTCCACGAACATGTCTTTGACCATCTGGTCCAGATCTTCCTGCAACAACCGTCTGAGGCATTCAGGCACAGTTGCACGCTCCTCTGACCTACAACAATGACATGGCCTGCTCTGCAAAGTGCCACATGAAACAAATCCAATAGCATCGAGAAAGCCGGGATTTGGTCAACCACCAAAATCGTGTGCTGATTCTTCCAATTATGCAGTACAATTACTTGAGTCAAAACCGTTCCAGTCTTTTCCATGTACCACGCAAGGCGTTGGACATGGACATACAACAGCAACAACAAAACACTTCTACCACACAACCCATGGCTTTCCCAAAACAAATCGCTTTCGCTACAAGGTACGACCAGCCATGTCAGTGTATCGACCCATTCTCCAGCCACGCATGGCCACCATGGCCCTGCAAGCCTGCTCGATCTCAACATCATGATCGACCAGCAAGCCGCTGAGGTTCTTGACGAGATCTTCAATGGCCTTCTTACGCAGGAAAGCTCAGAAAGTGAGTCCGATGAAGCAAAACAAAGCAATCCGAGAAGCAGCAAATCTAAACCTATATAATAAGTTCTGAATAAACTTCAATATGCTTGGAACGTGTCATATTCAAAAATGATCAAACATGTTCTAAACAACTCTTCCAGAAACAAAGGTCTCCTGCGTCTCCTGGGACAAGTCACACATAACGTAGTCACCCTACTCTTGTCATGAAATGATATGTATGATACAACGCCAACTTCTGGCAAATATACTTCAGAGCTTCAGAAGTAGAGGCCTGAACCACCAAAACCGAGAACAGTATATCTCCATGTATAGGACACATATTCCTTGATGCATGACCTGTAGTGCATGACACAACGCAACACATCATGCCAAAGTCACTTACCGACATCCTCAACATCCGCCCTTCGACACGGCCTTGGGTGCATGTCCCTTCCGGAGCTTCTGCTCTGGGATCGCGGCATCGGCCTCACCACTGATCAACAAATGATCAAGAATCGGGATCCACATCATTCCACATGTGCTGCTACCGCTGCGGCTTCTGTTTTATGAACTTGTCCCCCTGGCAGGCGTGTATGATTTTGTTTACACAAGCAGCGCGAGCATGTTTGGCCAATGTATGGACACAATTGTGCTGCCATTTCATATGTTATCATATTTGATCATACTTCATACTTCGATGCTGTAAACCTGGAAACTAGTGAGGCAACATGCTCTGCAAAACCTCCGGAGGTAACTTCCACTGTTCATCTAAGAAAGGGCACCAGGAATATGGCCTCTACTCTAGCTTGAGGCCCTGAGGATGCATTCATTTGATATCCCACTTCCACAACAATATGTGCACGGTGACGGCACCGTGTGATAACTGACAGGTCGACAGCGGTGTGACATGCGCCTTCTTGAGAATCACATGTTGCGGAGCCTCAAAGCGGCAAAGCAGTCGAACAAAAGACCGGTCCAAATTCATTGCTTTGAACTTGTTGTCTTAAATCGTACCCTGATACCTGTTGAATTAGGTCCTAACGGTTGAACGCATGAGTTTGTTTAATAAAACCCATTCGGGCTGAGGTCATATCCTTTTTCTTTAAATGTGTTTTATTGTTTCAAGGCAGTATTTCATACACGCAAAGAATCTGCAAAGAAACCAACCACGTCCTCGAAGAAACAGTCTGCTCCTGAGAGGCCCGACCAACTTGCAAGCATTGCTCAAGTGCTCCAGGCTGTCCTGGCACACAGCTGCAAAGAACCAGGTGCTTGAGAAGAACTCAGGACAAAACCAATGCAGTTCAACAAGACATGCTCATACCCATGAAACTGCAAGACTTGCAAGAGCTTAAGAAGTTGCGTTATACCAGTGACCGCTTGTGTTGCTGTATGTTTTTTCTTCGCCTGCCTACGGTAGTGCCACCAAAAAAATATGCAGGCGCTTCTGGCATTATTCTCTGAGCACATCCAACAACTATCCAGGCACAGCCGGCACAGCACTCGAAAATCCCGGTGGTCCAAACGCCGTCTTAGACGGCGCATCTCATGATCCCACCCATTTCTCGTCCCACCTGTTTCGTCAGGAGGTTCATGCCAATGGAGCTCAGGTCCGGCCTGGGACCGAAGAGTGCAATCGTAGAACCCACAGATTGGGGAATTAAAATCAATTGGTTTCACAGTAATGTTAGTAATTATAATTAATGACATGAATCAGATTAACTGGATTTCACAAATTTGTGCATTAAACTCGTGGGTTTGGGGATTTGGGATGGATATCGTTCAAACATAAGTTTCGGTCCTTACAGCAACCACCGTTTGGCCTGCATTCATTAAACCATCACAAACACAAATGTCTGGGTCACCGCAAACGCCGAAGAATCAGCGGGAGTAATGCTGCTGAGTCAACAAACATGGCAAATAAAACATCAATTGTTCATCTCAACTCTCTGGCTGCGTCTTCATCTCCTTGACATGCACCGCTCCCAGCGAAACCGCCGAAATCAGCTCGGTCCACGTGTGAGCGCAGGTCAGTTCAACTTGTTGCGGCATGGCCAGCATCACCAGGTACCAAAGATTCGCTGCTCATCGGTCCCAGGACTTCTCAGGACTCCATCGACTGATGGACTCGTGTCAGCTGGTCTCACCCGATCTCACCTGGTGTCACCCGCAATTCCGCGAGGGGTCCTGGTTGGGCAGTACCACCTGCGCCACCCGCATCAAGCGTCGCAGCAGCACGGCGTGATCCCGGATCCCTGCCTCGTCCTGTGCATCGACCAGCGAGGCTCGGGGAGTTCAAACGTTTTGGGTTGTTTTCGTAGGTTTCCGTTTTGTTGGGGTGGCAGTGGTTTCGAATCCTATAGTTGTTCAAGGAACGGGTAAGAAACATGGTCTTCACATTACGTGCACTTGAGGCTTCAAGGCTTAGCATATTTTCACAACCAAAGCGTTCAGCAATCTGATGCCATCGGAATATATATATATATACAATTCACCGGCCAAAAAGAAGCAAAGCTGGCTCTTTGGCAAATCCGAGGTATCCAAAGGATTCGAGTTGATCTTGTTGATCCGTTCCGCCACATTCTGCACCACTGAAGGGCCATTGCGGTTCCCTTCCACCAAGTAGGGAACGTCACCTTGCCACTTCCGCGCTCCCATGACAATATCCATATAGGCCTTGTTGGCCTTGACGTACTCTTGTTCACCCACGCAGCTGCAGAACTCCTTCCAGTTCAAAAATTCTTGGGCGGTGCCCAAGCTTGAACACGTGAAAAATGTGAAACTCTCATTGAATGGATTATCCATGCCCAGTGTGAGACCCATAATATACATGCAATGCACACACAGGTCCCACACACATTGCAGCCGGATTCTCCCCTCGAAATTTGACAGTCTCTATTTTTTGTGCCTTCGACCTGTTCGGTCCCTCCCAACCTCCAAAGATTGAGATAGTTTTTGGGAGATGCCATCCTCGGATGTCGCAGACTTAGCGACAATGACACTCATCAATCATGTGTACATAAGATGGCTCCTTATGAAAACACATGCGAAAATTGCAACTGGACTATCTGCTTTGAATCCAAGACCTTCCTACTGGATTTTTTTAATGTTACAATATCGTACAATATCATGTTTTTGGGTGAATGGTCTCGTGACACAGGTACTTGTAAGGTACGTGGAACAAAATTGCCCAGCTGGTGGCATGTCCGGAGAATACCTGCAGCTGACTCTCTCAGGTAGTAGTTGGCTGGCACTGAGCAGCTGACATTCAACATGGTCTGGGCCACGACGGATCTTACTCCTTTGTAGTCTTTCCAGGTTCCTGCCATTTGTTTCTGATTTAAAAAATGAACAACTGATCCTTGACCAAGCTAACTGATCATCAGCCGGGCATCCACCAAGCGATGCCCAAAGTTCTTCACCTGCTGAATCGCTTCCTTGGCCGCTTCCTCCGACAGCAAAACCTTCCGGAGCTCCGCGTCCACCGAAGACGCATCGGCGGAGGACCGCAGCGTGCCATCCTGACGTGGTGGATGGGTGGATCGATCTGATCACAGGGTTCACTAAAAGCGGATAGGTGCAGGCTACAAGCTTTGGAATATATGATATTAAATGATATAAACAAGTACAAAAAATGCTGTGTATATATATATTATTAGAATATACTATTGTGTCAGGACATCGATTGGTCGAAGCCGTTTTTCGAGAAGTGTAACAAGTCTTCTTGAACGCCGGTGGATCGAGGTGGGCAACAGGACCCTGCATAGCGTGCGGTGAAAAGGCATGCCGCCTTTGAACTATCCACAGTGGTAGCGGAGCTAGAAGCTCCAGGTCATTCGTAGTTGACACCATGGCTGACGGAAGAGCACACCCTGTTCCAAGAAGTGATATGAGTCAAGAGGTGGATACCTCTCCTGCCCCGAGGCGGTGGCACAACACCAGGACGTGATGTTGGATCCGAAGACTTTGACAGTGATGAGTTTATAGAGAGTTTCTTCGAGACCGCCGGCTTTGTCATCGTCGAGAACGAGGCAGCGATCGAGGAGAAGCTGATGGCAAAAACCTATTGAATGGGATGGAGAGAGCATTCCATTCCAAGACTTATTAATTTTTTGTTGGCTTGCTGTTTGGTCGCGGGAAGTGTTAGTGAACAGGTCTTAAGGAAACCATGGGGCTAGATCAAAGATGCTCCAAAAGAGCGTAGGCTTCGACCAACAGGAAGTTGGGTCGATGTGAATCAGGACATCGATTGGTCGAAGCCGTTTTTCGAGAAGTGTACCAAGTTTTTTGAACGCCGGTGGATCGAGGTGGGCAACAGGACCCTGCATAGTGTGCGGTGAAAAGGCATGCCGCCTTTGAGCTATCCACAACTATGCAGTATATATATAATATACACTACTACCAGTATCAGTTTGAGGCAAAGCTCAGATATTACTATAATCTATAATGTCAGAAAATGTCAGATGAAAGTGGATGAATACAGTATATATCTCTTTTAGAGGTCAAACGTACAACGCCAAACAACCCATGGGGTGAAACGAGAATTCATTGGCAAAGAGGGGCACCTTGCATCTGGAACAACTTAGAACCTGGAAGCTGGTTCACTACATATTCGCAGAGCCAACAGTGAGTAGTAATGAACTTCTTGACTGGGCCACAATCTCCCTCAGTGAGTTTGGTTCCTCATAAATCTCTTGTCAGCCCCACCAAAGACCAGCCTGCTTAACCAAAACAGAAAGCCCCCACCTGAAGCCACTTCAACCACTGTGATGCCAAACACTTGGAAGCATGAGCAATAAAACTCTCCGGCGTCTCGAACTCCTCCCGTGGTCGCCACACCAGTCCCGTGCTCGCCGCGACCAACTCCTCCGCGACCGTCGGCTCCCTCGAAGCGTCGACGGCGTCGCGGTCGGTCTCCGCACAGGGCGGCGCGTGGGGGTCGAGGGCACGGCAGCAGGCGAAGCCCCAAGCTTTTTGGTCTGCGTCATACCTCAGAGAATGTCACTCCAAAGGTACGAAAGTGGGGTCAAAAGCAAAAGACACACAAAAAATTGCACAAACATTGTTCCAATGCTATGGTGGAGATACCAAGATCCCCACACACTTCGATGGCCAGGTGGATTTGCATCTTCCACATATCGCGAAGATGCAAGGGGCAAACTGCTGGTTGTATCAACAGCCATGAATGTTTCCACTTGCACTCACGTGAGCCCGGGTCACGCACATCAATGGCATGGCTCACTGTGAGATGACACTGTGTGTCTGGATGTCTTGGTTGACCGAATTCTTCTCAGTGCAGAACGTTTGGGAGCACTGGAGCACAGGGGAGCTACAGTAAGCCAGTTTGGGTCTGAAAGGGCACAGGTGGCAAACTCACATGAACATACTATAGCATGAACAGTCTCATGTAGTATCCGCCTAGAATACGCTAGAGAATGATGAATGCTGAACTTGAACCTGAACGCCCCTAACATGCAAGAGGCGGATGTCAAGTGAATACAAGAGCAACCCCCAAATAGATAGGGCAGTCTTGAAAAAAGGAGGCCGCCCTAAAAATCTGGGAGTAACATGGAGTAACTAGTACTAACCATTGCAAGAAACACGTGGGGCACATGCCACTTCTGACTCACTGAGCTTCACTTGCTGAGGTGGGCTCTCCACCATTTCCTTGTCCAAGGCCTGGGCCTGCGAAGAGGACACCGCGTCTGCGGCCCTACCGTCGCCGTCGCCACTGGAACTGCGTCTTTCAAGGCGAGGAAACCAATTAAGGTAAATAGAAGAATGAATGAATGCTCAGCCACTCTTCAATTAGATCCACAATGCTCCACAGATCTCTTCACGCAATGATCTAAACCCGAGTCTAAGACAACAGGATCTTATGGATCATTCATGAATAGAACTGTTCCCTGGGGGGAATCCCCATCTGATCCCTATCAGACAACAGGATCTTATGATCATCTATTCTTTATTTCTTCCTCAAAACGAACTTCTGGGGCAATCCACATCTTCCGTTTCACATCTTCCAGACTCTCGCATCCTCACCACGGAACGTCACCACGTCACCGCGTCGGGGTCGTCGACAGGTACAGCCATGGGTCTTCTGATATGACTCACATGTATTCGTAAGCGACTTCCTGAGGTTCTTGTGTCTTGCTCCAAGACCTCCTTTGCTGTACATGTTCCAAAAGGGGGGAACCAGCTGCAAACCGGCGGGACCAACCAAGTCTGGAACAAAACATGCGCAATGGTCCTGGAAGTTTGGGCATGTTCTTGGCTTTCACGGCTCCCGAACCACAGTTCAGCCAGAATCCACGAATCACAGGTCCTTGGCGTGTTTCGAAGCCTACGACAATTCTAAGAAGCTTGGGATCAATAAAATGGCTGGAATCCCCTAGGGCAAAATATGGGATCAAAAGGATGTCATAGGTCTTGAAAGTGGGGGGGATCCCACCTGGGGACCCCCTCCAATTATCATCAATTCTCGCTCATCCGTTCCTCGGTGAAGTCATGCGGCCCTGGTCACCGATTGATGCTGCGGGACTGGTGCCTCGAGGAACAGAAGCATCGCAAGTAGCATGCGCTGTTCTAGGATCGTCCTGACCAGGAACGATGGTCACGTCACACACGGATGAAGCGGCGAAAAGGGATGCGAGAGCGACTGTTTCGGGTGGTGCAACGTGAAGAACGCACAGCTGTCAAGGTGACAAACAGATTCTCATGAGATCTTCTGGCACTATCAGCTGTGGGCGGGACAGCTGGGCCGGCTTCTGTGAATGGTCAGGAGTCCATCCTGGTTCTACAGCCGTTAAGCCCTAAACCCTAAGCTGTCAAGAAAAAGAACAACGTTTGTGCCATGGGGATGAGCATGGATGAGCATTACATTTGTAGTGTAGAATCGACACCATTTCTATGTCCACGCAATGCGCCTCTTGAGCCAGGTCTTCATGGCCTGCCAGGGGCAACACCCCGGACGGGGAAACTCTGATTGGATGCCAACGGCCCATGGTATTTTCAGTCTGACATTCGAATCACGATCTCATACTTGCAGATCATGTCGACAGAAATTGCACATACTGCATCATTGCTTCGTCGCTCCCACAAACATGTTCACGAAATGAAGAGCAAACTTACATGCTGTGCAACAAGTGTACACTGTAGTCTAGACAATTCACACCGAAAAAGAGCACCCAGCGCAGCATCGTACCAAAACTTGTTTCCTGCACTAGTCCAATGCAATCTGATGCGGCAGCCTGCAGCATGCTATCGTTTGGAAAGATCTCGATGTTGGACCTGGAATCAGCCGGACCACTACAGTCTTTGAATCACCAGATTCCGGAGCCAAGTCGAAATGTACGACCTCAACACCCTACCAAACTGTTGTCTATTGTGCCTCCTGTTGTGTACTTGCTCAGCCGTGCATTTCAAGGTTCATGAGTTGAAATCCTACTTGGCATAAACACAGCACATTCATCATGCATTCGACGTTCACATCATGCAGCGTTTACATGCATCAAGCCTCTTGATGGACAAGAAATGACAAGAATATGATGTACAGTTTCCCCTCCTGTTGTATCCATCTTGCACAGCGCACAAAAAACATCCTCCAACATCCTCCAACGGTCCCAGGACGAGCTCGGTCTCGCTGCACCTGGCACTCTTTGGCCCAGCACGAGCTCGTATCTTTCGCCTCAGAGGGCACCAGCGAGGGACACCGCCGCACGGAACCGGGACCAGGTGCCGCATGGGCATGGAACCAGCAGCGGATGTCTGATTGAAGTTTCGGATGCTCATTGGGTGCTGACGGGCCCCGTTTTTGGCTGAGGGCTAAAAAATATGAACAGCGTCAATAAAAACTAACCAGGTGTCAAACATGTTATTTCCAGTGAGCAATGAAAAGAAAGGGACTAGGGAAAGGACAACAGCAGCAGGGCGGGAGACCAGAGGACCATGAAAGGATGTTTGCTGTTTGCAAAAACATTAGGCGAAGGATGGCGAGGGTGTGCAATATTTGGTGTGGATATGCGATGGAGTGACCTTTAAAAAGTCGGTCGTGGCAGGCCCACTGCATTGGCCAAAGTAGTGCAGATTTCGTGGCGCTGGAAGGGGGTTGGGGGGGAGGGCGCAGCACCTCCCCCCTAGAGCGAACCAAACATCAAAAGCCATCAGACTCAAAAGGCATCGCAAATCAGATCACCATTGAAAACTACATATTGCCTCATCAATGAAGGGCACTCAGAAAGTGACGCAAGGACCAAGGCAACCGGGTAGCACTTTAACATACTTTAACCGGGTAGCACTTTGTTTTCGCAACCCTCGTGTTTGTGACATTTTGTGACCAATATTGACTAATGGACCACGAGGCTAGCGGACCAGGACAAGGACCAGGGGACCCAGGGACTAGGGGACCAATGGACTAGGGCACCGAAGGACCAGGGGACCAATGGACCATAATGGACCAGGGGACCTACTCAGATTCTATGTAATTTTGATCCTGCTCCTTTGTTTGAAATTGATAATCTTGTTTTTTTTAAATCTAGATGCCCCCCTTTTTGGGGCGACAAATGTGACATATGTCTCTCACTAGATACTGGCCACATCTGGCCACCGATTTGGTGTGGACCAACATCGACAGGGCCTCCTGGGATCGCCCCTGATCCTCCACCGTCACACGTCGCCCCGGCCGTTCCGCTCGGCCGTTCGGCCGTTGACGCGTGCAGCCATGGCACACCACGTTCTCAACGGCCAATGCCTCTTTGGAATTCGAAATCCATTCACCTCAGGTCCGGATGGACGGAAAATCTGTGGTCGTGCCAAACAGGAAAGGGAATACTAGTACCTATGAGAGTGTTGAGCTGTTTGTATATCAAAGACTAGTACCCTCTTGTGCATCACAGGGCTCTAATATGCTGCGAACCGTCCCGTTCCATTTTCACATGCAGGTCTAGCTAAACCATGCTCAACCATCATCCGCTATCTTAGATCTGTTACCCTTGGGGTGGCACACCAACTGTCATCTGGCTTCCAGTCCTCATCGTCGGCCTTTTTGTCCTGAGAAGGTGATTGTCATACATTGTCATTGAGAGAGAGAGAGAGAGAAAGAAAACCCAAGTGCCAAGAAGCCTGTGGGTGGGTGAGCGGATGGATGGATTGGTGGGTGGAGGGACGGACGGACGGATCTACTGTATATAGATTGATTGGATTGGTGGATGGCCCCTGATTTCATTAGTTCTGGATTGGTCATGACTCCATGACAATTTCAATATCTCCCATTGGGAATTGTTTTCGGCCACACAAACTGAAATAGCTGAGACTGGCAAGAACAAGAACCCATCGGTTCTTCCGGCTATGTCACGCCAGACCCCAACAGGAACATTCCGGCAAGCAATAGACTTAACCTTGGCCATCGGTGCACGTGGGGAACCTATGCAGCATGACGAAGAGGACAAAGGGATGCAACATGTTCAACAACACCTGAACGCATTACCAGGGTTTGGGCTATATTTGTGAGTTCTTCCGCAGGCAAATCGTTTAGCCATGTGCACCACGGGCCAAATTCCTACACCAAGACCCCTGATAGGGTCTTGTGATTCTCTTCGCCATGGCCACAGGACAACACCGAAAAGGACTGCAAAAGACCGAGCCAGCTCGACGGCAGATCCAACACGTTGGCCCAACTTGCAGCAACTCCAAGTCGAAGTTTATTGATCAATCATGCCCAAATATGCCTAATATGTAATTATGTCGTTTGCAGGAATGCATCTTCAAATTCATCACAGCAAGCCAAATTCAATTTGGCGTTACTCCTTTCAGGTGAACCACAACGTGCACCAACAGAGTGTTTGTACAATCGTTTCCTTGAATCCGCTGGCCCATCAAGCAAGTCCGTTTCTTTTCCAGAGTGCCTCTCACCATCTCTCGCCCCACCAGTGATGTAGATGGTTCAATAAACCCCCCTCCCCCAATATGGAGATGTAAAAAGAACATGTAAAAAACCATCTTGTTTGGTGAATTGAACCATGCGCCTTGGAGAGATATGACTCAGGTTACTCAGCTCTTTGCTCCCGTACCTGAACCTGATCTTCCCAGCTACCAACGGTCCGGTCCAGGCAGCCAACCAACCGATCCCGGTCGGATCGCCCTGCCTCGGTGGTCTGGAAGGTTTCTCTCCATCGATCGCCCTACGGAGAACGGGCACCGTTGGGCCACCGGATTCGGACGATCGGTAGAAGTAAGATCAATACATAATATAGAGATATATCAATTCTATTGGCCCCCCCCTCCCCCCCTTCCATAGTGATGCTATCACATCATTCATTCGAAGGAATTTGCTGAACATGACTTGTAGCTGGTTAAACAATGTTAAACATTGTTAAACTATGATGTTAAACTCCTTTTTTCTGGATCTGGTTCAAACTCGATCTGGTTAAATAAAATAAGTTGTCAATGATGTAAAGTGGTCCCCAAATAGATAGAAACGCTTTCTATCTATTTGGGGACCACTATCCGGGGATTCGCAAGAAAAACAAAGGATGTGCATATGTGTATCCTCTCTGCAGTGGTTGTCTTTGCCATGTGGCCCATGTGGCTGCGGCTGTCTCCTTTTCCGCACATGGCACTTCGCTCGACCTCAACCTTGTCCATGTGGATCGTTCGGAATCCCAATGGAGGTCTTGAACTGACAGGTTGGTTGCGGGGGGGTTGCTGGGGAAGTTCCAGTGATAGACGTCAAGCTCTGCAAGGTGGTGACCGGGTGAGTGCGAACTTTGGTGGTCTGCAGTCGCCAGTTGGGCGGATGGTTTCCAAGCGTTTTCTGGTGCGGAAGATGGGGTTGGTCTGGTTGAAATCATGGGACATCTACCGAAACACCCAGAGTGAAAGCACCTGACCTTGCTTCACTAGACTGGGTCTTCCCCACTCTGGTGTCAGCAGCATACATTTCCGGCCCGCAAAACTTGGCAAGTAGACCAACTAGAGCACTGATACTTTGGAGACCCGATCGCAAATGTCAGAGATCGGTCTGCTGCAACCTGCACCTCAGCCCACTGTTGGCCAGCTGGCCACCCACCCAGCCTCCTCGTAGAACTCATCCTCCTCTTCATCCCGCGCCTCCTGCCTCTCTTCTTTCTTGGTCCAATCCCTGATCAGCACAGGTCCATGGTCCGCAGCCGTTTTGATTCAGCTTTCTGCTTTCCTCTCTTGAGATTCTTGACTCTAGGGTTCCACAACCTTTGGATAGAGGAACCTCTAAACTCTAAATACTCGATCTCAAATCTATCTACTGGCTGAACATCCCCTCACTGACGCCAAATTCAAGTGGTGGTATTGCATAATTATAATACTCGCAAAAAATGAGTCAAAGGAGATTCGGGCAAATTACATGCGTATTCTCAAAGTACGTTCAAACATGTCCTACAACAAGCGTGTCCCCAACTTGACAAGTCATCGCCATCTGAGGCTCAAACTCCTTGTGCCAGTTGGAGCTGGTGGCCTAAGAAAATGGGGTCACCCTATTCGTGGCCCCGGTTCAGTGCCATCGATTTCGTGGTGTCACCGACTGGGCGACAAACAGGAAGAAAAACCAGGGGCGAATCAACCGGATCTGGACTGAAACAAACGTCCTAACTATAACCTGGCGTTCAATCGACCTCGGTCTCCGGATCTCGACTGGAGCATGATCGACCGGGGTAACGAGAAAGAGAGTGACGATATGTGACGCTCGAAAGGCAAGTCAGTCGTTGGATTCTGCCAGCACGAGGACACCTTAACCAACCATTACAAGGACACCTTTCCTCAGCCAGCAAAGGTTCCACCCTATCATCACCCAAGTGGCCGCCATCCGGGCAATCTCGTCCAGGACGCTTTCCTGCTGCCGCTCCGGGCCTGCTTTCCACGCAACGAGATAAAAGGACAATGGCGGAGTGGACGAAGTAAAGTGATAAAATGTCCCCGACGATGTGTTCGAAAAGGAAGTCTTCCTTAACTAAGCCACAAACCAAATGATTAACAATGAAGGCTTCTCAATCATGTTGCCTATTCAGTCATCTTCTGTATGTTCAGAGTCGAATAAAATAACAGGCTTGGTTGCAGCTCCCTTGGAAGACTACAAAACCATACAAAACTTGCCACAATCAAGATGAAGACTCTCGTCAAACGCATCTTCATGACATCTTGATTCTCTCAATCAGTCCTGTGAATCTCTCCAAACTGCATATATAAGTTGTGTGAATTTGCATGAATTTGGGGCTACATGACTGAACTTCAGCAGCACCTTGGTTCGTAGGGCCCTTCCATTTGATGCCCCAGTCATCATCGCTATCTTCCGCCTTAGCGCAAAGGCCACATGATGCGGTAAAAGAACACATTGAACATACTGTATAGATGTTTGCAAACATTTTGCAAACTAACATTTGTTGGCTACTTCTACTGTCAGTTTTTGATGATACAATCATTGGAGACAACGGGAACATCATCAGTGGGTTTCTGCTCTGCTATAGGAAAAATATGTACAAATCCATCCATGAAAGCTAGCATGGAACCCAATTGTTCTGAACCTATCTGGAAGAGAGGGATTTGCTCCGTCCGATAATGTCTGCTTACCAGCTTCAAGCACGCCATGGGTTGAAGTTTGTTCAGCCAAAACGACGACTCCATCAAACACCATGCATCTATATCACTAACAACCAGAGTTTGGTTCAGACAACAAACACTGGCAAGGTTGCTTGTGATATCTAATTCACTATAATTCACTGGACCCAATCGACAAAAGGACCTGGACAAGTCCCGTCAGAACATAGTGCACGACACCAGCACATACCAGCACTGGAGCGCTTCCCATAAACAGCTGTGTCAAGGGGTGATAAAATGAAAAACACCGGTCAAAAGCATGTCCAACACAGCATATCATGATATATCATGCCACCCCGAAAACAAGCATACTTCCAGTTCTCACCCCCAATGGAACTTTACACTCTCAAGATAAAACTGCTCGAAGAAAATCATGACATACAGCTTTAAACAGCCTTAACCACTGCCTTAACCCCCACCTTGAAGGGTTTCTGTGCTTCTTCACTGCTGGACCACAGAACCAGTCCGACCCGAACCCAGTGGGCCCACCTCAACCTCCTTGTCTTGCACCTAGCAAGGACAGGTAGTGGACTTCTCTCAACACAAGAAACACATATCGAGTCCGAGTGAGTAAGAATTTCTGTGGATAGTTAGAGTGAAATCATATCTCCAATATTCTCTAATCAGCCCTAAAAAACAATATGACTATCACCTTTCTTGCATGTTCTTGCAGGTGGATTGAAGTTGAAGGCTAGATCTCCCAAAGTTGTGATGCGAATGAGCGATTGCTTCAATGAAATGCTCACAAGAAAACTAATCTTGTTTCCTGAGTTGCAGATTTGCCACTGGTGTTTGTTGCATTAGCAAAAACACACATGTGGCCCTTAACACTTGGACGCCCCTTAACACTTGAGCTGCTCTGAAAGCCTGCAGTAACTCCCTATTACTATGTCGTATCAATTTGCTTCCGCTGGCGGTTACGCCATCCTTGCGCAAGCCAGACTTTGGCTTACGCGGAGCTAGTCAGGCAAGAAAAGCTTACGCAAACCCTTACGCGCACAAAATCTGCAGAAGTTCCACAGTCACAGTTTACGCAGGGTCTTTTTTCCTTGCGGCAGCGAAGGTTCAAGAAGTGAGTATCTTAGGATCTTGCTGATCTTGCGGTCCCTTGCACCCTCTGCGCTTGGCAGCTTGCTTACTCAGTGCCTGAGCCTTGCCTGACAACCTCTCCTCCAAAGTTCGTTTTGGCTGTGGCGTCGATGAAGATTTGCACAGCTTCTGGGCGGAGAATTTTCGGGTAACCAGGTGTTCGTCTCCTGCTTGGGGCCCAGCCTGCTCCCATTATGGGCTACTAGTCACTTCAAACGAATGCGCTTACGCCATCCTTACGCAACTGCTTACGGACGGCTTACACGCAATATCCTTCTGTGCAAACACCAGGTATCACCTCATGCGATCCAGACTTTGTGACGTTCATTCCAAACAGGTTGGAGCATTTGGCCAACACATTGCTTGATGATACATGGTGCAATTACAGAACAACCTTGATCGTCCATCCTACTACAGTAGGTCCCAAACAAGACAAACAAAAACACGTGTCATAGCTCCAACGTGGTTGCTTGTCTTCCTCTTTTCAACCCTGGACTCAGAAAGAAAAGAATGGAGCTTACGCAAGTGCTTCAGCAACATCACATCCCCAAAATGCTTACGCAACCTTACGAAACTCATGGTGTTTGCTTACACGGGGGCTTGATATGACAAGACCTTGACTAACACACATATAAAGCAAGGTTTTTAGAGTTGCTCACTTGACAGTTTCCTGCACTTTCACCGGAACTGCACCCAACGGTGCGGCCTGCGCAGGTGGCGCGATGGCCGCGGGCAAGGGTGCCTGGCACACCGGACCGTCCCGGACTGCGGACCGTCCCAGGTTCTCTGCGGAGAACGTTCGAGTGGGTGGGGACAAGTTGTGGGACTCGCCTGCAATTCCTTCTCCAACTGCTGCCAAACATCACCTCAAGGAGATTGATGAGGATTCCACAGGCAATTGAAGTGATCCACAGCTCTGCTAGTAGTTATTTCACATACTATTTACAATGTCTTTTAAACGATACCACTGCCTGAAATTCTATAGCTGTCACTCTGAATTGATCTTCTGCGGAAAACATAATAACGCTCATCTGGGGACCTGTGACGCCGCAACCTGCGGCAACCAGAGGTTCTTCCGGTCTGTTCCGATGGAATCATTGAGTTCCCCCTCATCCAATCCAACACCAGCCGACACAATGGATTGATGGGTCTTGCTTTCTGTGACAAAGAATGTCAGAAGTATCAGCATGTATCAGAGTTCATGTTGCAGCTCTGTATAGCTCTGTGTACTCATTTTGGCAGAAGCAAAATGATATACTGCAGCCATCTGCAGCCTGATAAGTGAGGAAGGACGGCTGCATTTCCATATTCACCGATCCTTGCCATTTACATGACATGCGACCAAGCTGCCTTCGTGTGTACTACCTGCACACCAGGTGATCAATAAGGACAGCATGATTCGATTGGACTCCGTGGACAAGAAATGGCCTACAGTATCGACAATCTTCCCATAGACTATTGATTCGACCCAAAGGAATATCACAACTTCGCACCCATCCAGGTAGCTTTGAGTGAACTGCTGAGGAAACAGTTCCACCCCAAACAGCCAGTTTCAGCCCATGAGCGAGGCCAAAGCCCTCAAAATTCCCCAAACATGAACCACCTTGATTCTTCAAACCAATTGGGTTCATCTGGCGACACTTTCTTGTTGAGTGGCTGTAGTCAAATGGAATGAAACGTAATCAAGGCTTCAAGATGAGTGAATCAACACCTACAGTTTGTGTTCTTCAGGGGCTGAGCATATAAACCATCATGGCTGTTGCAAGACCCAAAATTATCAGCATTCAGCATGCTTTACAACACATAGCGAACACGGCAAGGAAGAAACATCTGGCAAAACTTGAGACAGAGTCAGAACGGACTCCCTCTGATTTGGGCAATACTCCTGGCAACCCTGTGGCATCCCATGGCTGAAGCGGCACGCACAATATTTCTTTGCTCGCCAGGAGATCATCTGCGAAGACCGGAGAGCACTGATCAGCCTAGTACAAGGGAATGAAGTCGTATTTTGATTTAGTGCAGTGGGACTGTCCGATGATTCCTCCATATTCATCCAATAATCTTGACGACAGTAGAATAAACAACCTACAAGTAGAAAGATTAATTACACAGATTCATCTGCGGGGCAAATAGAATGAAGACTGGAGCCAATAATAAATGAGCCAATAACTTATGATTGCTAACTGCTATCCTAGCAAGGGGTTGGGGAACTCCCTGTAGCTCCTTGGCTCCCTGATCAATGGGGAATATAATATGGATACCTCCAGATCCTCTGGCTCCTTAGCTCCCTCCTGAGCACCAGCTAGTATCCATATGCTCAACAGCTTCTTGGACAGTCTTTGGAGTTGCTGGATATGCAAGATCATGCTGTCATGCTCAATCACAGAAGCCCACGTAGACTGTATACTTGATTAATCAACAAACTCCCTATATAAAAAAGATGTTTCAATCCAAATGGGGCCGGTTGTCCATAATCTAAGAGTCTACATGTTCCCACATCTCTGGACTCGATCCTCCGATCCTGTGTCGTTTTGCCACTCCGCCCAATCGGCACCTGCCAGGAGTCGATCCTTCAACTTCTCCACCGCCTCTTTAAGCATCTGCTTATAGCCCCGTCGCATGGTGGCCGCCATCTCCTCCCGACCCAACCGTCGCGTGGTGGCATGGTATGGCATAGATGGCAAAATCACACCGTTCTGATGGGGAGACGGCAAACTGTTCGGTGCAAACCTGTCCGCTGCCTGCCTGGAGCTCTGAGTTATTAAACTCGGTGTGCTTGCTCATGGAGTTTGGTTGGCAAGGGGCACCATTCAGAGATGAGAGACAACAACACTGTGCAGTTCTACAGTCGTATCTGCTGCCACCATGCAACAATCAAGGCCTTCACTAGGGCAATAATATCAGAAACCCTTGCAAATTGAATCATCAAACCTCCTATATATACACATGGATCAATATATTATGGTCCAAATTAGCCAAACTTGAAACCGTGACAGGCTGGGCTGCATACTGCACTCCTGGTTGTCCGACTTGAAGTCATCGCCTTTGGCCAGATCCTCCTCGAGGCGGCCACGTGGAAACAAGCTCCACGAGGCCTTCTCCAGCGCGTCCAAGTACATCTGAAGACCTGGTTTGTTTTCAGACACATGTGTCGAGAGAACCAGTTCTTCTTCACACATCCTCGACCTTGCAGAAAACTCAGCAGTCACACTCTCCAAAATACATAAGTTGTTACTTTATGTTCTATCATTTGACCTGATACGCTGATAGGCTTGGTTGAAAGTCCTTGATGTTTATTTTGCAGCTCAACCAGTCTTCCAACACCAAAAGTCCACCGGGTTAGCCCCGCGCCTTCAGGCGTGGCGCTCCAGTGCTGCCCTTGGGGGTCCTCTGTGACGGCGAGTCCTGCCAAAGGCAATTACCAAACAAATTCAAACGTTTAATATGTTTAATTTGATTCATGACGGCTATAGGGGCACTGGTCACTGATCTAAATGAACATGGACCTCACAAGAGCAGCAGCAGCAGCAGCAGCAGTTCCTCTGTTTTTCGCCCCCGTTCTCTCTCTCTCTCTCACTCTGCCCTCTCATCTCTCTCACACCCTATTAAGGAGTCCTACCAGATTCAGCCACAAGTCGTTCCACTGGATGCCTCCAGGCTGCCGCCCAACCTTGGCGCCATAGCGAGGTGGATCTTGACATAAGTGTCTTGGAGCTTGACGAGGCAAAGGATTCCACATGATTTCACATGCCATATTAAATATCAGCATTCCTTTATGGTTGCGGTTGCGGGTTATAATTAGAACCCTGCATGCTAAATGCCACCCAAAATTGAACAAATTCAACCTACGTACTATGAATTCGCGGTGCAGCAGCCTGGGGGTTGAATCGCTTTGAGATGATGTGAATGTCAAATGTTGATGCAATCTGCACTATGCAATTGCATCGTTGGAATTGTCCAGCGACTCTTGAATCTTGAATCACTTTGAAACTTTGGGCATCGCACTGATGCGGCGGGTCCAGGCAAGCAGCAAGATACATACTGAGCCCAACTCCCTCTTCTTCGGGATCTGGCAGTTGTTCCTTAAATTGCTGCTTGCGCCACTGTGCAAAGTCCTCTGCAGCTTGCTAGCAGGCAGTGCATCATACACTTCCATATCTTGCGGTGTTTTGAGCCCTTTTCCTTACACTCCTGAAGAGTCTGGAGTTGGAATGTCGGCGGCGGGCATCATGAGGACTTTTTAACGCTTTGAACAAACCCACAGAGCCAAATGGTGTAAGACTGAGAAACTGGATGGAATTGGCATGATAACAAGATAGAGCAAGCGCAATCCGTAAGATTCATGATTGATGCGGTTTTCACGCACCAACTCTCGCTCCCCCTCACATCGCACTGGTTCTACACATCCCAAGTAGTCAAGTCAAGCCATGTAGATCCAGGATGATCGAAACTCCATCAACGCCCTCCAATGCGACAAATCCCCGGTCCTCATTGCTCTGTGCATTGCAGACTGATGCCAACGCCTCCCGCAAGTCCTTGGGTCTGGCCATGATGCGATCCTTGGCAAGCCGGTCTTGTAGGTTGACTGCACACTGCAAACTCTACTGTAGTGACTACTGAGAAAGAATTGGGAAGAACACTGTCCTTTCAAATACAAAGATTACAAAATAAACATCCATCGACGACAGAAAGTTCACCTGAGGGTTCAAAACAGTAAAGCTCCGTAGGTCTAGAGTCAATAAGTCAACACATTCTGCACAATTCAATCATTCCTACCACAAGACGGATATCCAAGCGGCATAAGGGTTTTCCTCTACCACAAAACCCGAGGTGGTCATCAGCAAGTGGTTGGGATCCTGGAAGCACGACAGCTGCAGTGACACTGCTCGAAAACATCGCAGTGAACCCTTGTCGTCCTTGTGTCCTCCAATACCTGAAGGAATGCGATGGAATGTCGAGACTGGTCGCTGCTTTGGCAGGCTGGACTGGATTCAAGGATCTTCGGAAATCCACTTGGGGAGAAACATACATGACACAGGATCTGCCCAAGTGCAGTCTAGATGCCAGGTGCGAATGGGGATTGAGAACGAGAGGTTCTTTTGTTGATTCTAAGAACAAGTGTAAATTCTCAGAACTCTTGCATCAACCACAATCATCCAAAGGCTGTTTTGAGCCAACATTCCTGAGGAGCATTTTACTTGCTCCAAGACTGCCCTTGTCTCCATCGAGATCCAATTGAAAGAATCATATATTTTCTCTTTACGAGTCGTGTCCACAGGCAGTCCTCGCAGTAGGCGAAGTTCAAGGTCTCTCCTGGTGCAATATCCTGAGATTTCTTGAGCTGGAATGAGTACAGTTGTTGCAGGAACGAAAAGAATCTGAATGGCATGTGCCAGCATTTTTGTCATAGGAATATATAATTTCATGGAATTTCAAGAAGAAAGTTCGGGCTTTCCAAGTTGTATTTTACAACCTATAGAAGTCCGATAGGTGTGTCAGATATTTTCACGAGATATGGTGGGCTAAACTTGCCACTTTGCAAACCAATCGTCCTTAATGCACTTGGACTTATATATCAAGGCAACATGATTTTTTTTTCTCAACCAACAATTGAAGATCTTCCTAGATAGTATTTCCATGTATTTCCTGGTTCAATCCATGTCTCCATCTTTGCCCTCAACTTCCAGGACTCAGGGCTAGCTGTGGAGGGCGACTCCCACTCGCAGCTCGGATAGAAGCGATGGTTCAACCTGGGTCCCAGCAGCGAAGCTACTCATCGACGCATGGAGTCGCTGGGAACCCCGATGAAAAGAACAACAGTTTGCCCAGGGGCTGCGCTATCCGCTATCCACGTCCATAATATGATTCCATGTGACTCAGAGCGCAACCGGCCCCTACCGCCGATCCTGGTTTCGATGGCCATCAAAGGGTGCAAGAGGCGATGACTTTCACTTCAATGGTGTTCTGATTCAGCTTTGTTTGACGTGAGCAATGTCAATCTCTCTTCTTCACATGCACGCTCCCTTCAGATGTCTCATGTATTCATGTTGAACCTTAGACCAGTGTGTATCTGCAAACACTGGACCATCCCAAAAGCCCACCATGCCAAAGCGATCCAAAAAGCAAATCTCCCAGTGGGATCATTCCGGTGGACACCTGCCACAAGCGAGAGGAGATTGAATGGGTACAAACCTAGTGGCATCATGCGGCATCTTTATCATGAACACAAGATCCATGGCCACAGGTGGATCAAGTATGATCAAGTTGTAGGGATCGACCACTGAAGCATCAAGACCTGAACATACCGTCTATCTACAGTATCCGTCCAACTACCAGCGGAATGTACGCAAAAAAGAAGCCTGCCTCGCAAGAGAAGCGTCGCCCCAAGACCAGCTGCAAAGCCTTGAGAAGACAGAGTTGGCTCTGTTTGTATGGAAAACGAGGGAGAAATCTTTGAGCCTGCAAAGTAGACAACATGAACACTTCCCAGTGAATCGGCGAAGAATAGGCCCAAAATGGCCCAAATCGTCTTTCCACACCAGAAATTTGTTTGCATCCTTTTCGGCCGATCTGCTCGACGTCCATTCCTCGGCCCAGCGTCTCTCGGCTCGTCTCCCATTCCGGCCTCTTTCAGCTCCGTCGCCTCGAGGCCACTCTTCTCAGCCAAGAGCTCGACGGCTCGCCGTGTAACGCTCAAGGACTCCTCTCGCCGTGCGGAGGAAGAGGAAGAGCTGGGCTTCAGGCACGGGCTCGGTTCGGATCTTGGTGGATTGGTTCGGATCTTTGAGCCCATGGAGCCCTTCCCAAACATCATCTTTGACATCGGTGGGCTTCACTGGCCTTCTTGGAAACGGCTGACTGGGATAGCCTAGGGTTAAAAGGGCAACTTCAGCCCAAGAGTCAACAAGGAGCACTACTCGCGCAAAGCAAGTGTGGGGCAATTGCTTTGATGACCCAGATGAACAGTCACAGCCCGAAAATCAAGGTACTCGTCATGCTGCAAAGATCAAGTCCATTCAAATCTTGTCTTTGTGAAGATACGGGGCGGTCGTGTTGAGTTCACTCATCCTCGCGTAAGGTCACCCATTCCACATTGGGACCCCGCAATCGCATGAAGTCACGCATGTGCGCAAGAAGGCACCCATTCTCTATTGAATTACGTACTTGATCCCGAAGCTATAAAGTATTGCATGAGCGTTTAACTGGCATCTAGGTTGAGAACAGCACGGGACACCAACTTGAAGTGCTTCGTTCCAGCAGGACATCAGCGTCCCTTGCTTGGGGGCGTTGCGTTGTCACACACCGCGTGCACCTTCATCCCCTCCTTCAAGGGGATGTTTTCCAAATCCTCCAGATCAGTATCCTCGTAGAAGAGAGGAAACGTGTGCTTGCCTGAGCTGGATGCGGTCTGCGAGTCATGAAATATGAAGCCCACGTCTCATGTTCAAACCCCAAGAGACACACTCACATCTCAATTCATCTTACTTGAACTCACAAGACCACTGACATGAATCCCACTAGCCCATTGACCCACCATCTCCAAGGCACATGACAAGAGCCTTAAATATGGCCACCATGCAGAGCCCTCACCCTCCTGGCGCTCCACCCCAACGGCCAAGGCCAATTCAGCGTCCTACGAGGTCGAACACCGGGTCGATCGCCGGCCAGTGAGCCGAAGGACGCTACGAATGGGGCTCCTGGCCTTACTACGAACGGAGCAAGAAGCTATTAGGAGCAGAGGGCATCGCTACGAATAGCAAGAGGAATCTAGTAGCCATGGCCTCCAACCTAGAAGCAATGGGCAATGGCCTCCAAGCTAGAGGCAATGCTCCAACCTACTAGCGATGGCCTCCACCCCCATGGAATCATTGAAGGCCCACAGCAAATAAGTTTTGTGACACTTTACTCACTGCCAAGTGAGAACACTGCTACAGTGCTACTAGATCTTGGTGGCCTGGTGCACCCCTTCTGCTAATACAGCTACAGTAAATCATCCACAACTGCGACAGCTGTAAGTCACAAGAGCCTTGCAGGACGTTTTGGGTCCCCTCAAAACACCACGCAATCCGCCAACCCAACCAAATTTCCAGATGCCTCCGAAGTCCTCCCCAAAAAAGGAACCCTTCAAACAGTCCTCCTTCCTGAGGCCTGCCAGCTCCATGGCCTCTAGGAGCTCAGCATCGAAAACGACGTCGTAGGCGTTGGGCACCACCGACAAGCAGCAGCTCACGGGGATCTCCTCGACCGTCGTCGCTGGACCGAGCACCGATCGTTTCAGGGGTCGATGAAGCGTGCGGTGTTGGAAGCTACGAAACGTTCGGCGTTGGAGTCTCTTGTTGGATGATGGTTGATGGATGGTTTGCGCTGGCGGAGACAAGTGCAATTTAAAGGGACAAATATCATGCCTTGCTCGAAAGTCACATACACTCATAATATCAACTCATATCATGTATATATATATATTACTTAATGATCCCCCTTGGAATTAAGAGGGTGGGTTGGGTCAGTCAATTTTATAGTGACTAAAACGCTGCATATGACATCAGAATTGTGAGGTTGCCTTTTTACCTCTATAGAATTGCTGCTCATGAGGGTCTAGGTGAACCTCTATAGAATTGCTATCCACAGGTCTTGAAAACAGATGGAAACTTGTAACAAGTCCAGCAACAAGTTCTATAGAATCAGATGCCTCAGGGTACTCACTTAAGCGTCTTTTTTTCAAGATGAGTATATTGGGCCTCTATAGAATGGCAGGCTTTGGGTTGTAAAAATCTATTGCTTTGAGTTTCAATACCCCACTAATATTCCACACTGTTTGCTACGCCAATTCTATAGTATTTCAATCTGATGATTGAACAAAGTCACCATCACTGATTTTATAGAAATGCCCCAACCCACCCGCTGAATAGGAAGGGGAAAAAACCAATGTCACTCGCTCAATCTCGCTCAATAGAATTGCAGCCCATTACTCCTACAAAAGCCATGTGGGCATATTGGAATTGTTACCATAAATTAGCATCTATAATGAACTTGCACACCACAACTCCCGAAATTACATCTCTATGACAGCCCCAAGACTGAAGAAAGATGGAAAATGCTGGGAAGATACTGGAGAATGCAGGGAACAAACAGAACATACCAGAACCATCCAGAACCTGTCAGAAATGATTCATTGTGAACCTCGAGCAATCTCGAACAATCCAAAACAATAGTTTAAAGAATATGTCGTATTCAATCTTATAGAGATTGCTCAAGTGATCTCTGGTGTATATTCCAAAAATATTCAAAATATACACCTTCACAACGAAATCAAAACTCTATAGAATATTATAGAATTGGAGTGCCGGGGTCAAACTATGCTATACCTTTTTGGTTTTGTTGCAGTCTCCCAAAAAAAGTGGTTTCTATAAAATTGCATTCCACAGGAACCCTTGTCAGATGCCCCCCAAAAAATGCTCAATTAACATCTTTTGGGTCTATAGAATTGGAGTTAAGTACCCTTGTGAGAGCCGCCCCCCCAACAAATTCCCAATGAGATCCTTTTTGCTCTATAGAATTGCACTCAAGCACCCTTTTGAGAGGCCACCCAAAACATGCTTAGTGGATCTTAGTGGGAAACACTGAGGAAATCCCCCAGAAACACCGTGTCACATCAGGAGTCTCAGTCACAAGCACTTTAGACTATCCCCCCCATCCCACACCCAAGAAAAGTGTACTGTTCCATGTCGTTTCCAATTTTATAGAGGGTTTACATTGATCAACTGTGGTTTCCTTGCTCGAAAGGAAATTCAAGAGTATGTCGAGAAAACCGATTTTATTCCCCAAACAGTTTACTGTTAGGGGTTCTCAATGCTTTAAAGAATGGTCGCCTTGGTGCTGGATGGTCTGGTCGGGTTCCCGGCCGGCTTGTCTCCCACTTCCTTTCATTTGTCTCCCAGTTCTTTTCATTTGTCTCCCAAGCTCGGTGCTTGTGGTCGGGTTCCCGGTCTTGTCTCCCACTTCCTTTCATTTGT